GGATTTGTCGTTAAACAAATCACTCGTTTTGCGGGGCACCACTGTATACCAAAGCAAAACAAAAGGAAGTGCTGATCACTCTATATTATTTTATCCATTGGGGGAAAATAGAAGTAGGCTAATCTCATCACAGAATACTTTGGGTCTATTTTGCCTTCTCTCTTGGGTTCTATGAACATGGAGACTTGTTTCTTTTTCTTTTTGAAAGATAGGAGGATGGGGATTGAAGTCCATGTACTGTACAGGGAAAAATTGTCCGCTCCTTGATAATTCATATTCTTTATCCCCTGCAAACACTCAGGCATTTCACCGTTCTTTGCTGAGTAGTGTTTGCTCCATTTTAAAAATCTTGTTGCTCACTCCACCTCTTACATGAAACTTGGCTAGTTCATTAATTTGGCCTGTAAGTTATAAAAAATACAAAGCCAGAACATTATGATGTGTGAATGGGATTTCCAGAAAGATCCCTGGCTCTGTAGACTGACCAAACTGTTTTTCCCATTATTTTAATACATGTTCTAAGGTTGCTTTATATGTTTTGGGAGTCAGAAAGGCTTGTGTTTATGTGTGGAAACACTAAAGTTAGGGAGCAGTTAGTTTTCCTGTCTTTCCCCAAGGACATATTTCCTTAATGTTTTAAATGGAAAAAATGGATATTTTACAGGGTTATTGGGTGGGGTAATCATTCTATGATCTCCTGTCCCTTTTGTTAGGAGTTAAATTCTTCCTAAGGCATTTATAGCATGGGAAAATGAGGACTTCTGTGCATACTGTAGGCATGAAACACAGAACTCAGAAGTCAGTTTTTACACCCAGATGGTGCAGCTTTGTTCTTCACAAGGGGACTTCTCAAGGTCTTTTGTTCTGTGTGCATATTATTATTATTATTATTATTAGTAGTAGTAGTAGTAGTAGTAGTATTAGTATTATTATTAGTAGCAGTAGTAGCAGTAGTAGCAGTAGTAATAGTTCTATTATGATTATTACTATTATCACTATTATCACTATTATTACTATTATTATAGAATTAAGAAAACTGGACATTCAGCGATCCCTCCCCCCACTAGGTATTATGCATCATCTCTGAACCTATTTGAAGATAGCAAAAGCAAAGATTCTGCATCTGCTGTCCTTTTGCTTGGATAAGACTAAGACTGCAATCCTGCCTGCATAATAAGTAGTACTAAATCTCATTGTGGTCTGTGAGGCAGTGGCTTGCTTCTGAGTACCTGGGTGTAATCTCCACTACACAGTGTTGAATGTCGCTCTTAAATACAGCAAATCTGAGCAGAGGAAGCTTTTTTTAATGCTCTGCAACTCTATGATAAGGCTCTGTCCTGCACGAACCACGAGATGCCATTCCTGTTGTGTAAGGATGCATAGAATTACTCTGAAAAGGTCCTGCAACCATCCTCCACTTCTCCTGATGGCAACAGGGAAGCTGAGGGAATACAGAGGATGATGTCATGTGGCACATGCAGTTCTAGGCTTTTCATGCCCCTCAGCCTCTCCTCGGGTGGGGGGGGGAAGGAGGAAATGACCTCACTCTGCCTAATGGTAGGACTGGCCCTGGTGAAATGGAAATCGTTGGGAACAACGGAAGGGTGTGCATGTTGTGCTTGCTGAATACCTGACTGTCCCCATACTGTAAGCATTAATACAGTCTTTTCCTTTGCTTTTTACACATAAGGTAAGAAACCTTATGGCCGTTTGCCAGGCTTGAGAATTTTACAGGTGAAAAGAGCTGCTGGATAGCTCAGTGGCTGAGGTCTGTGGCCATGGAGCCAGTGGTTGGGAGTTCAGTTGCCCTACTGTGCCTCCTTGAGAGGTGCTGGCTCAATGGTCCATAGGGTTCCTTCCAGCTTGGCAGTTCTAAGATGATGAGGATGATGACTCCAGTGTGACCTGCCATGATTCCGAGGCTTTCTTTCACAGTTATTGTGAAACTAAGTAAGACTGACTTTGTTTTCACCAAAAATCAAATGGGAAACTTATTTCCCCCCCCCCTCCTTAAAACCTACAAGAAGCAAAAGGGGGAAAGGATTGACTTTGTTTTTACCAAAAATCAAATGGGAAACTTATTCCCCCCCCTCCTTAAAACCTACAAGAAGCAAAAGGGGGAAAGGAAGCCTGTTTTTCTTCTTTTAACTGTGAGGAACATCTGTAACATGGATCCTATGGCTTCAACGTTCAGAGGAGAAGGGAAGATGTCATGCTGTCATCTGTGATGGAGCCCCCATGTCTTGTGTGGAAATCTGTGGACAGAGGGGTGGCCTGCACAACCAGCCTGAGAGCAGACCTTCAGGATGACTTTAGCTTTCATAACACTAGGATGTGATGCTCTCTCTTTTTCATTCCTTTTTTTTTATGTTCTTGTGCAGTGGAATATTCCTTTACAGTTCAAATTCAAATCTAAAAGACATCAAAGCCTAATATGAAACAAAATGGAAGGCACTGCAAGTGTCTAGGAGAAAATAGAGAGAGAGGCTTTACTTTGTAGCTTCCTTTCTCATGCCAAAATTGCAACGCCACAGAAGTCAGGAAGCCACAGTGGGTGCTTGGATTCCCTTTGGTAGGTTTGATTGTTTTTCATCTGGTGCCTTTCTAAAGTCTTTTTTCCTACTGTATTAAGGAATAATATTAAAAAGAGAGAGAGAGAGAGAGGGAGAGAGGCCTTAATATAAGGGCATTGTGTGTTATGAAGCATGTAGTTCTATAAATATTTATGCCCAACTACAAAAAAAGAGTTGACGGTTCTTATTTTCTCAGCTGTATTGGGGTCATTTCGCTGCGTTTGACCAGGAGATTGAAGAGCACACTTGAGTTTGTACCTTTTCAAAATGACATTTGGATATTGAGACATCTCCCTCCTTGCACCCATTGATTTCGGTTGACAGATACTTGGAAAAACTTTTCAGGAAGTTATCCAAACTAACTAATAAGATCCTTTGGATAAGATTAGGGGAAGCACATTGGGGTGAAATTCTAGGCCTACTAGCAATTGCTATGCATCCAGAATAGTACGAGAGAGAGAGTGAGTGAGTGAGTGATGGATTACAACTCAGGTGATCTGGGTTCAAATTTCCACTCAGCCATGGAGACTCTTAGGGAGGATGGGGTAGATGGTAAAACCAGTCAAATACCTTGCTTACCTTGAAAACCCTAATAGTGTGACTGTATGTTGATTCTGACTTGATGGCGCAGTGGTTAAAACGCTGTACTGCAGCTAAAACTGTGCTCACGACCTGGGGTTCAAATCCCAGGTAGCCGGCTCAAGCTTGACTCAGCCTTCCATTCTTCCAAGGTCAGTAAAATGAGTACCCAGCTTGCTGGGGGGGCAATGTGTAGCCTGTATAATTAAAAATTGTAAACCGCCCGGAGAGTGCTTGTAGCGCTATGGGGCGGTATATAAGTCCAATAAATACATTTTAAAAAAATAAAAGCATATCTGACATGTAGTGCTAATGGCACAGACTCTTAGCTGTGCCATGATAAGCTGAACAGATAGATCTTGTCACATAAACATGAAAAAAAATAGCCTTTCTTAGTCTTCCGCTCAGTGCAAAACATACATTAAAACATTCAAGGTATAGGACAAAGATGGCAGTCATTTGGGTCTAGGCTTCTTTAAAACAAAACAAAACACTATCTTCATCACTTAGAGTACATTCTTAGTCTATTAATTTTTTAAAAATGGATTAATATAACAATTCTTAGTTTAATTCCTATATTTGACTCTACTGAATAATCTAATGGCATGATCTCTTTATATCGGACTTTGGGGGGGTCTTAAGAATGCCATCCGATATGTGCTAATTTGGGAGAAAATATTATTAATTATCATTAGGTGTTTATGTGATTGCTTTGCTTGTTGAAGGATAAGAGAGAAAAGGATTATGATTTGCACACCCTGGTTTTCCTGGGGAAAGCCATCATGTAACAGGGAGTTTATTTTGCTTGTGAGCATTCATTACTTTAGTATATGCTTGAGTACTCTTATCATGCAATTCAAAACACTAAGAGTTTTGTCTGGACCAAATCATGTTTAGAAGGACCCATTTGGATAAAGTATGTCTTGTCTAAGATATGTACATTGATTGAAATGAGTCAAAATTGAATTTGTTATCTAGATCCAACCCAGAGGACTTATAATGGGAAGCAGGGTAGGTGTACTTCCCTGCAGTAAGAGCCTCCTTGCCAGTCATAGAGCGTTGAGAGCAGAAGTCACTTAATCTAGTGTCATATTGGTAGGTCTGACCTTTTCATACTCTGTCCTACAACGTAGTGTTGTTCTGTAGTATGAGGGTCCATTACATGACAATTTCAAGATGAAGCCTGTATTATTCTAATCTTTAAAACTGGTATTGAATACGTTTTAAAATATCTTTTAATGAGTTTTGTTGTACATTGCTTTGAAAGTGCTGGTTTATTTATTTTATTGATTTATTTATTAGATTTCTATCCCGCCCTTTTAGACAAAGTCTACTGTGGGCCGGTTCCATCAAACATTATAAGCTAAAACAGTTAAAACAATTAACTGTTAGCAGGAAATAAATAAATAGTTCTATTTTTACATATTTTTGGTAGCTTTTTTCAGTTGCAGCATGTATCTGGAACAGGATGTGTGTGCATTTGGAATTCTCAGATATTCTGATGTTTTTGTTACATATGGTTGGCTAGAAATTCTCACTCTGGTCACAAGATGGCATTGCCTGTCTATCTTATTTTTTGAGATGTGTGGCGAAGCATTCTGCCTGAGCTTACCAGGTATGTCCTAGTCATGGAGTTTCTTTCTTTCTTTCTTTCTTTCTTTCTTTCTTTCTTTCTTTCTTTCTTTCTTTCTTTCAAAAGGACTGCAATAATTCCTGTATCCAAGTCAATATTAGTACTTCCTTATTAAATAGTCGGACAGGCAGTTGCAACACAGACCTTCCGTACATATCGATTTTTGAAAAACGAATGTTTGGCCTTGAACATAATGCAGCATTTTGGTTTTCTAGGTTGCTTGTCTAATACGGGTTCCTTCTGAAGTTGTGAAACAGAGGGCGCAAGTCTCTTCCTCCTCCAGTACATTACGGATCCTTTCCAGCACCGTGCGTGAAGAGGTAAGAAGTGAAGCAGAAGGCATGCTCTTTCCCTGTGTCCTACGGCTTCCATTTCTGATACTT